ATATAATATTTTGATGTTTTGAACATCTAATTTTTGTCTTAGACTGTAAAAAATAAAACAAAATAAAAACCAAAAATGCAATCAAAACGTCATTACAGTAAACTCTTCAAAAACTGCACCAGCTACAGTAAAAGCATGTTTGTGTTCTAAACCTTTATTTGCTTCAAACCTTTAGTTTTGTAYGTAATGTGCAGCCTAATTTATGCTTTATTAGTTTTAATGTTTTGCCAAGTAATGTCCTCCCACTTAAATTTTTTTTTTTTAAGTTTCTTGCATTGTAGCTACAAAGGATGCTCACAACTACGGCAGAAAAAGTATGCTTACCTGCTGCAGGTAGTGCCCCAGCTGACAGGCGACTGTCAAGAGAAGCAAAAGAAGTCTTGTAAAAACGGCCTCTTTAAAGCTCCGTCAGCGTGCACGGTGTGAGAATGCATGTTGGTGTTTTGATGGGTGGGACCACCACGGACACAAACGTGAACATGTGCACTTTAATTCCTTGTTCCACACTCCTACAGAGCAATGTGTTCTGCACTAACCCATAATATTGATGGTCAATACAGTCACACTGTGTTATTACTCAACTGGCATCTTATCACATTTTTTTYCCTTTTTTTTTTGTCTGTGTTTAGTGGACAACAAAATCCTGGTTTACATTGCCGGGCCTGTCTGCTAACCTTCACTGAGGAGGAACGTGTCTTCATCATAATCAACATCTTGCCATATTCACTGACTCAAAAAGAGACATAAAAATGAAAAAAGAAGCACATTTTGAAAAATAAAACATTTATGGGAAAAATAAACAGGCTACACAGACTATAACCGAGCTGCTGCCCTTGATTCAAAATTACCCAAAACTGAGGCCTCGTGTGTTATTTTGACCCAAGGGCAGCAGACAGGTAAACTTTGAAGTCGTGATTTCAAATGACATCAAGGAAAAAGTTAGGGAGAAAAACATTTATTTCCTTCAAACAGTTAGTGTAGGATGTAATGTACGGAGCCCTATTGAAGTTTTTTTATTTGTTTGATTTGTTTTCAGCTCACAATGATGACTCAGCAAGAAGCCAAAGAGAAAGAACATATATGCACATTGTTGTTCAGGTATAAATCATTTCCTAACAAAAATGTACTTCTCATTGTTTTCTGTTGGTACAGAAATAYGTTAATCTGCAAAATAAAATATAAAATGAAATGCATAAACAAATATGCACATTTAGTATAAAGATGTACTGTAGTGATGCACATTTTTTATTTAATTCACAATATGAAAAGCCTTTTACTGAGTTGTATCAACTCGCAGAGTGATACTGTAAACTGCGATGCACTAATGTGAAAACATTAGACAGAATCTTGTCATTTGCAGGAATTTACTGTAAACATCAGAGCCTTTTGAGACGGTAAAAGTACAAACCATTTCATTTTAAAGTTAGCTGAAAAAGTTGATTTTTGATGATAGTTTGCATTTTATTTAATTAATTTATTCATTTGGTCAATTTCAAGTTTAGAACCTTGTTTAAATGTTGTTTTTATGTTGTTCCCAATGAGGATTATTAAAATGATATATGGGGCGAGAGACCTGTTTAGATCACCATTGTGCTTGAAATGTGAACTAAACTCTGACTACTGATACTTTTATAACATGTTTACATAGTTAGTTGAATATACATTTTTATTAGATTTGAGAATCCTCAATTGTTTTAAATCAGCATTATTATGCAAATGTTTAAGCATAAAAAGGCTGTACAGTAAAAAGTGAAWTTATAAAATACAAAGTGAGGTTACAGATCACTCTGTGTGAGAGCACGTTTTTTCTATGTCTGCACACAGACTTGATATCTGCGGACTCATCTGTTCTTTCTTATGCAACACAAATACCTGMAGGACTGCATTCAAGGTGGCTTTTATGTGCCCATGTGCAGCCATGGATGTGGAATTATACACARTCTCTGATAAATCTGGTCAAATCTTTGACAAAACCAACATTGAGTTTGAAGGTTGCTATAACATGCTGTCTGCTTTTATACTACCATATGGGGTGCTGTTTGTAAAGTTACACAGTCAAAAATTACCACCAATATTTTTTTGTTTTATTT